TGATATGTAAGCGTACGCTATATAGAATAACACAATTCTATAAATAGTATGTATATAGTATATATATATATGTATGTACCTAATATGTTTAATAATAAGTAGAACATTGAACAACACATTATATTTATATTTGATAACATTGTAACATCAAAGAATAAGTTTTCTTTTTGTAGGAATATTTTTAAAATCATCAATTACACTTTCAACATTGATATTACTTACATATTCTTATTCTATAAATAAAAATAATAATGTATTGAGCTTTTTTTGTGTGATTATGCTTTTAGTTTGGTTTTTACAATAGACATTTTAGAAAAACTTCTTTCGCATCCACAACTAATCACTAATTTTCGGGATCACATTTTAAATCATCAAATAAAATATAAAACTGACCATTAGTTAATCTTGACATATTTAAAGGATGAACCCAATATCGACGATTTTTTTTTCTTCTGCGTTCGCGAAGCACACGTAAAACTCGAACAACAAAATATGCGTATACGTTTTCATCCATCGTGATAATAACACCAGATTTACACTACTGCGTAAATAATGACGAACTATCACTGTGCATACCACCAGCCATCCTTTTTATGCTCTGGAGAATTTTCTAGAAATATTTCAATCAAATATTCCAGAATATTCTATTTCTCAAATTCGGGGGCGGGGGGCTACTAGTAGATACTAATTATTACTACTACTACGAATTGTGGTCGCTTGTGGTTTGGTCCGTATGAAATGAATGTATTGTTTCAATGTATCACTAACTGTGGTGCCACAAACTGTGGCGCGATTTCTAGCGGGAATCGACCACATAAACCCGTCTGTGGTGACACAATTTTGTGGCGACACACCATGTGAAAGTATTAATTAAAAATTATGTATTTTTATCAGTGGCCCCACTGTGTCTTTTCTGTGGCGACACGTAAAGTGGTCCGTATGAAACGGGCCTTACAGTCGTCGCTTCATTGCCATGTTATAGTGAATAATACCAATTACAGTGGAATCTCGATTATCCGGGGTAATGATGGGGAGGGGGTCACACGGATAAACGAAAATCACGGTTAATCAAGACTTTTTATAATAATGACATTTTGAAAATTTTAATTTAATTATAATTAGAAATACATAGGTACGATTTTATAATAATGAAATTTTAAAAATTTTGACTCAATTATAATTAGAGATCTACATAATATACATACAATAATGTTATACATACATCCATAATATTGTATACAACAAGTTATTAGGGCTTAAAATATGAAGTTGTCAGTATTTTTTTTTTTGATTAATTTGATAAATTTAATATTCGATGTACAATATTGCTTATCTTCATATTATTATTGTCAAAAATATCATTAATACGATTGTCGATATCGTGTATTATGTAATATAATGTGTTTAATTATAACTACATATATATTTACAGTCCATTCTTGTTTTTAAATTTTCGGAAGAGTGAGCATGGTTAATCGCAAACACGGATAATCGAGGTTCTACTGTATATCTAAATTTTATTATTTCTTCGTAATATTTTTGAAATGGCGAAAATTAAAACGTCGGTTAGTGCTCGTCTGCGTCTCCCAATCACTTCAGTGGATGTGGAGAGAAATTTTTCCAATTATAAATATTTAAAAACAGATAACCGTTATTGATTTACTTTTGATAACATCAAATACGCTCTAATCATACAATGCAATGATTTTGATTTTTGAGTAATTTGTAAGCTTTGATAAATTTATAAAACAAATGATTTTCATTTTTTTTTATTTCATATTTTAAGGACATTCGTTGTCTTTTTTATGCCATATTTTGAGTAATTTGTAAGTTTCGATAAATTTATATAGAATGTTAGTAAAATAGAATAAAATATTTAAAAAAAAATGTATTTTTATGTTTTATGTATTATATGTATTATATATTTTTATGTATTATAATTATGTTTAATTTAAAACAAATATTTGTAATTATTTAAGTCATTTTTTAAGGACATTTTTGTCATTTTTTATGTTATATTTGCATCTTTTTTTAGGTAATTTTTTAATGTTTATAAGGTCATTAACTTCCGAGCCCTAGTTATCAGTTACCAAGTTTTGTAACACTTAATATTTACTTAATTAGGTACTTATATTTATTTATTAATAACTTTAATAAATTATATATTGATTTATTTTTGAACAAAGTTTCAAACTGCAGAACAAAGTTACAAAGGTAGGTAACCGTGTGACACGCCCGTGTCAAATTCACATTCACTAAATAGTTTTTATTACGCCCACAATTCCAACCGTTGTAACCAAAAATAAGCAATTTAATATGTAAAATGGAATTATTATTACAACCCATGTAATACCATCAGATTATAAATTAATGTATTTTGAATTAGGCATAACATTATTTATTTTTAATAAATTAAATTAAATTAATTTATTAATTAATTGTATGACTGAAACAGAAGGTTAATTATTGAAACGAAACGATTTAGGTTTATTAAAGTTACCAACTCAATGTAAGGCATTTGGAGCATAGAATATTCTAATTCCTAGCACCAATATCCAGGAATATAAAGAATATAACCAATGTTAGATTTAAGAAAAATAGGACCCGTAACTAAAAGAGTTAACGACAATATTAAGCTATAGAAATACGATAGTATACATGTAGTACACAATATTATTTAATGATGTTCACCAAGTTTCTAAAAACTAGCTAGATTAACTATATGTGACTAACGAATATTATATTAATTATAAGTTCATTTTAATTTGTATAACAGTTATGTTTAGTATTCTTGTAAGCATCATACCTGTTTGCCCATATGTTTTCCGCTTGTATAAAAATTTAGTCACAACGTGGAGAATACCCGAAATTGAAGTAGAATCTGTGGAGCCCACAGCTCCAATACAAATGGATATTTTCAACAGTACAATACTAAGGAGGGAAAGTTCTTTCGCTTCTCTCCACTATCCACATTTGAAATAAAGAGAACATAAATCGGATTGACACTTCTTTCTTTAGAAGGGTTATGTAATGCACCATACATAAACAATATTATATATCTAATACATGGTTAACATAACATAAAAAGCTTAATTAAGGAAATGTCTACGCATGTTAGTTGCCTAACTGTTTTTTGACAGTTAACAAAATTAATTTCATTGCAAAGTTCAATATAATCCATTTTAATATCTAACACATGATAAGTTGAAAAATTGTTAAACAAGTGAGTTGTGTAATAGAAAATGATTTAGTGGAAACGGGTATTATCAAAATATCATTTGGTGGATATGAGTATTAGTCAAAATATAATTAGGTAGAAACAGGTATTGGTAAAAAAGTGACACATGCACTTTTGGTAGAAACGTGTCTCGCCGCACTTTGTACACTTTCAATTTTGGAACTGGTAACTAAGGTAATAATCTATATATTAATCCAAAAATATTTTTACTAGAAGTAGTGACATTTATTGGAGGTAGAATTATACTTCCTAAGTATATTCTGTTTTTATTTTTAATTAAGACAATAAATCCTAGATACAAAACATTTATCAATAAAATGTGGAAAATGGCAAATAAAGGGTACAGTATCACAATAAATTTAGTTGTTACAATTTAACCAAATAACATATTTTAATAGAAAATATTTTGGAAGTACTTTAGTTCAAGTTAATGAAAGACCTTATTAATAATAATTAGATATTATCCATAAAGTAAACCTATATTTAAAAATATTTTAATACTTATTAAATCAGAACATTCATTTCATTATTGTAAATATTTTTTTCAAAAAATACTTAAGTATAAAACTATAATAGTTAGTATGTATGGTGGTTAGACTCTGATTTTATGATTCAACGAAAATTGAATGAAAAAAATATTTATCATTATTTCTTACATATTTTATATTGCACTTACATATTCATATTTCATGGATGTTGGTAAATGGAATGTAACATTTATTTTACTTCTTTTTTACACATTTTTTTTTTAATGTTACAATAGTTATTGTAATCTTGTAAAAAGGACATAGCCCATAAAAACTCGAGTAAATAAATAAATATTACTTTAGAATAAATACTATTATTTTACACAAATGAATTAAAAAACATATATTTATTTAATTTTTTTTTAACATTATTTATCAATTTCCAAGTTAAAGTGAAAAATTAAATTAAATTTTTAACTTTAACTATTTTCAACATCAAAGATTAAGGTTGGTTTTCATATATATTTACAGATACAGAGCATAAAAATAGGCAATTAAAATATAAAATAAGTAATTAAACAAAATTAAAAAAAAAAAAAAATCAGTCAAAATTGGTTTGTTTTATGGTAATCTTCACCAGTTAAAAAATTAAATTTTCTATAAAACTTCAGTGGAGTATAATCAAGTGAACGTACATAATAAGTGAATAAAACAATTTAAAATTAATAATTATAACATATAGACAATAAAAATAATAGAAATTATGTTAAAAATAATACATAGTAATTAAGGGCATAATAGAAACATCCATGTAGTGCCCCTGGTAACAATGAGAAACTATGGATGTACTAAATGACCTATTATCTTTTTGTAGCAATTTCAACCTTATATTTTAACTATCTAGAAATTTTAAGTGTGAAAATATTAATGTTATAATTTGAGATTTAAATTGCAGAAATATAAGCTAGGGATATACAGACATTACATTTGAAAGAAAAAAATGTAAAACCCTGAGCAAAAACAAATAACCTTTAACTTTATCCCAACCCTAAATGACCTTATGATTGAATACGAAAAGAAAATGATGTAAACATGGATACACCTGTTTCGAATGTGCCATTTAATCAAAAGAAAGTTGTATATGTTCTAAAAAGGTTATTTTATTTATTTATTTGTGTCTGTAAAATGTTGAAAAAATCGCATACAATGATTTAAAATTATTTTAATTATTTTATGATCTTTATGTTTTAATAATTTATAAACTTGATATTTATAACTATATAAATTAAGTAGAATTAATTATAATAGTTCATGTACATATTCATTCATTATCACTAAATAAAGTATCATTTAAGTATATTTAGTTTTTTCATTAAAATAATTATTTTTTAAGAAATACAGCAATATATGTACATAAACCAAAACAAATAACAGTTGTAATAATCTTTCATTTTTAGTATTATTTATAACATTATAACAATACTGTAAGTCGTTAGGTTTCAAAATTCAATCACACATGGTTTGTGCTTTTTTTCTTCTTTTGAAATTGGGCAGGTTTAGGATATATTTTTTCATATCGAAAACTAGGTGGAGGTATATAACCACTAGATTTTAAATGTTTTCCCATACTACCATTAAGTATGGATGGTGTATTAGGGAATTGTTTATTATAAGCAAATGCAAACTCTCTAGCAACAAACGTATACAATTCATTTTCCATTTGCCATATGATAGATTCATGAAATTTTTGTATAGTCTTCCGAGAGAGAGGATGTTTCTTGGCAGTCTTTCTCAGATGTGATTTTGGACCTAGAATATAAATATATCACTATTTAAATAAAATGCATCTAATTTAAAAAATAAATGTAAATATTTAGTTAGTGTGGTTAGTGTGTAGCAATAATACATATATTTAACATACTATGTTTGAAATGTTCAGAAGCATTGTGGAACATTTTACCAGGAATGATAAGTTCAAGCATATGTAGAAACTCTCCCATATGTTCAGTGACTCCAACCAAAGTGTATTTTTCAAGAACATTTCTTTTAGCCTGTTTTAAAGCCCATTCACTCCCTGGAGTCCTAAATAATACATTAATAATGTTAATAATTAATTAAAACATTAATAATACAATGTAAATTTCAAATATATAATATATGATTTATATAATTTTATGAGAATTTAAGTAGAAATTTAAATGTTAATAATTAGTAAGTTAAAAAAAAAATTACCTATAATTTTTTATAAAACCTTTTAATGAAGTTAAATTGCCTTTCTAAGAAATAATTTCATAGTATACTTAAAGTATAAATAACACATAATTAAGTCAATTTAAATAATAAAATATACTTCCTATGTTAATTATTTTATAAATAAAACAGACTTAACGCATAATACTAAAGACTTAATACTAAATATACTAAAATTATTACTAGAATTCAGTATATTATATATTAAGTATTACTTACAATGTATCATTTACGGACAAAAAATGGATAGCTAATACTATATTAACAATTTAAGGGGAAGATAATATTTCAGGATAAGGTACTAAATGTAATCTAATGAATTCAATATTTTTAGCTTATACTCATTTAGTTAAATTGTAATGACTTCTGAGCGATAATCTTACAAATAATTATATGGTATTATAATTATAGTCGGATATGAATTGAAGCATTTGAAAATTTGATATTGAATATAATAACCAAGTTATTTTATTATATTTATTATTTTATATAATTCAAATTGTTAGTAACTTTAATAATTTACTAGTAATGATAACAATGATATTCATATAAAAAATTAAATATTTAAATATTTATAATTTACAAACCAACAATCAGCTGATTGACCACATAGGAAAGGAATTTGTAGCCATAAAAGATTTGCTTGGCAATCAGCTCCATCTCGCTCTACACACTCATCAAATGTTGTCGACGAGTCCATATGCTTTTTTCTTACTAAGTATGGTCTATAATCATCACCATAACGAAGAAAATAATAGTAGGAAACCAACCTGTCCAACGGTTTGCGTAATAATTGAACATAATATGGCTTTTGGTATCCATATCTTTAAATTGAATAAAAAATACAATCACTAGTATAAATTAAAATTAATTAACTAAAATTAAATTAAAATACCTTTCAAAATCAATGTATGCAAAATGGCCATGGTAAAACGCAGGTCGCAACCAACGTGTAGTATTGTCTACGAACCGAAACTAAAACATATTTAGTATAATGAATACATTTTTCGGACAAACTAAATTTATCAGCATTAATAAAATATCAATTATAATGGAAATGAGTATTATTATCTACATATATATACAATTATGATAAATTTCTTATTAAAGTAATTTTTTGGTTGATTTCAAATAATTTAATTTTTAAAATATTTAAAATTATTTCATGGGAAATTTCAAATAAAACTAATTTTGTGATGTTTTCTCTAGTGCTAAAAATAGTTTTAAATAATAAAAAAAGTAAAAACATTTTGCAAATAAATAATTAAATTATTATTTAAAAATTGATTTTAAAATAATAAAACAAAAAATAATTATTTAAAACAAGTTTTTCAATAAAATTATTTTTAATGAAACCATGTAAAATAAATAAATCTAATTAAGATGAAGTTTTACAAAGGCTATTTTCAAAGCAGAAACAGAAAATTTAATTTACAGTTTGAGATAGAGTTAAAATTCCTAGATATAAAAAAAAAACATTTATGATCTTCATTGGACTCAAAAAATATTTATAATAAGTGAAATTTTATATACATCTCCAGTAATTTATAAAATTATAAAATTGAAGGCAGTGATAATGAAATGATTGTAGGAATATTTTTAAATGAAGAATTATCAAAATCTCAATTTTAAATTGAAAAACTTATTTTATTTATTTTATTATTTAAAATTATTTTTAGCATTAAAGAAAACAATCACAAAATTAGTTTTATGAGAAATGTATCATAAGTGCGCTAGGAATGGTATATATATATTACTGATATGGATACAAATTATTAACATTGAATAAATTAATTTAATAAAAAACTAGTATACCTGTTGCGAAAATTCACAATAGATATTTTATTTATATAATAAAAAGTATAGGTGCAATTGAATCAATACATAAACACATTTTAACATATCAATAAATGAGTGTCATGTCGAAAATTGAAAGACATATCATAATGACAATGAGTGTTTATTAAAACTAATTGGTAAGAGCAAATGAGAATACAGTATTTGGAAAAAACTGAAAGTGAAGTTAATTGTGCACACATAACTTTCTTCAATCTCAACGAATTTAAGCAGTTAAAAGCTCAAAAGAAAGAGCTTGATCCACTTAGTGTTCTGAGAGTGAAACAATCAAGATTCATTTATTAGAAGAGGAGCTATGAGAATTTGATTTGCTTGAGTGAATGTGTCTCATAAGAAATGTACAGGGAAGAACGTGTTTGAGTATAACTTGAATAAGGTGGGAGTTGAGTAAAATTCAATAATTGATGACATATATGTGTCTAAATACCTTCCATTAAAAAAAAAAAATGAAGGAAATCGACCGGATAGAACAGTCAGACTAACTTTAGTTTTCATACATTTTTTTAATGTATAAAATTATACTATATTAGAAACAATAAAGTAATTTAATTCGAATTTGAACCAGTAGAAAATCATCTATGTATATTAAATTAAATTTTGAATTAATTTATAAGAAAATTAACTATTAAAAACAACATTATGTTGAAATGGTGTTTAAAAATTGAAAAAAAGATTAGATAATTAATGGTGATAAAAAAAAATTTAAAAGTAGAGTATGGAAATGTAAGGTTTAAGTACCTGATCATAAATAGAAAGCTGATGAGAGTTGCCTGTGACATTAACATGAAGAACACGAAAAGCATTACGTGAATGTAAATCATATGCGACATTGACAAAACTCGTGGATCCAGTCTTAGGTACTCTATTGTAAATTACTAATGGCTTTTGATCGGCAGAATTTGCAACAGAATTGTATATAGCAGCTGATTCTGAAATATATATACATATAAACTTATATGCTAACAAATAATTGAAGAGAATAAATATCAAGGTATTAAGAAAGTGAAATTATATTTGTAAATTTACCGAAATGAAGATTTTTTAAATCACCATTAGCTAATTTGGCTACAGCTGCTTGAATTTGAAAATGTTGTTCGCGCAATAATACATGATAGGCAATCATTGCACCAAGTACTACTAAAATACCTAATACAACGAATATGAGCAGGTACACGTGTAGCATTTTTTGATGCCTCACTCGAAAAAACATGGTGATGAACGAAGAAAAGCTTCAAATTTTTGTCTCCACTTACGGCGTTATATGAACAGTAGAAGTTATGAATTTGGTATTGTATTCATAGTTATTGTTTTCCATCACTTAGTCAAATGAAGGAGTAACTATTCTGCGATATACACGATAAAAATAAATATAATAAATTAATGGAAAAAATATAACTATTTATGTACAATGGTTGGACGTTTCTAAAGCGTATAATAAAATAAGCACCAGAAATTATATTCACTCACTGTTAATCGGAATAATCATGTAGTATAAGTATTATTGTTGTAAATGTTTCGACTTAACGACCGAGAGATCATCGATGACGAGCATTTGAAAATAGCAGACGACGATTAGCCGACGGTTTCGACAAGTCAAGCAAATGTCATCTTCGAACTCGAAATGTGCGTGTACACACAAAAGAGTGTGGGTTATCACGAGGGACGGCCCGTATGAATGAACCTTAATATCGAAGGGCGTCCAATAAAATAACAATAACGATCAATTATATAATTATGGTAATAACATCACGATGTATCAGAACACAAAATAATAATAATAATATGATTTTTGTACGTTCGTAACGACGGCGGTGATGATAACAGCGTCGGCAACACGGTTATATTGAGTGATAGCTACCATGCTGGTGTACTATTGTGATAACTGATAATAAACCTCCAGTCTTATCATTGAATTCTGAATATTGTTAATTGGTTACAAATTATGTTAGTAAATAAAATATATTAAGTAAATTAAATTAGTTCTGTTTATGGGTTCTGTAAAATCTAAAATCAGTAGTCTGTGCTAAAATCGAAATGTCTAAAGCCGGGTTTACACGGCGCGAATCTTATGCGCGAGGCAAGATTCGCGAGACATCTGATTCACTTAAATGTTTACTCGATACGTATCTATGCGCGAAGCAATGCGATTCAGGGCGAGCCACAGTTTATGCGAGACAACGATGAGGCAACTTAATGAATTGAATATGTACATTGATTTTGATCCATGGCGCTGCGTGCGAGGCAAGACGCTAAAAGAAATAGGTCACACGTCCAAATACCGACTAAGCTTCCGCTCGTCACGATGCATCCTCGCTTAACTCGCTTATTACCCGAGGCAAGTTCAGACAGGGCGAAACACGTCGAATCTTGACTTGCGCATCAGATTCGCGTCGTGTAAACCCGGCTTAATAGGTACTCTAATCATAGATTCGTTGATGTCTGTGTATATATATGTATATATATATACGTACGATAAGAAAAGGCAGTAACGTGTATGCGATACATTAGAGTGTGAACGCGAAAAATACATGGAAGCCGACCACGGCGTATAACGAGAACAACGTTGATATCTGCAATGATGGCAAAAAGCGGTTATGAGATCCAGGGGCGGATCTTGGATAATTTGATAGGGGGCACATTTAAATTGTATAATTATTCTTTAATCATAACTAATAATACATAATCTTATTTTTAAATAACATCGGTAATATATTTAATATAATGTCGATTACATAATATCACACACCAAAATAATAATTTATACCTATAGACAAGTCATTATACATATATTGCAGTGTCTTATGTTATTTATATATTTTGTATTTTTCCATTCATAACACTTATGAAATTATCACAATTTATAATATATAATTTATATAATAAAAACACAATTTTTATGGTAGTCATTATTTTGATGGACCTTGAAATTTTATTTTGCTATTTTGTAAAGAGATAGTGGTATTGTAACTAATTTTCCTAGTTTTACACGACTACAACCTCCTTCGTCGCTACCAAATAAAACGTATATTCTATAAAAAGCTCCTTCGAGTTTTTGGCTTTAAGATAACCATGGATACTCATTTATTCAGAGAAGTTTAAAAGAATCTATTAAAAAAAAAAAATCATGTGGAACCCAAGGATCACGTAGAACACCATAACGTGCATAGTCTTTTATTTTATTAAATGTAAAATCAAAATAGTTGCCAATATCTTTAGTGTATGCGATTCCAGTGCAGGTAAATGAATTGAGTTGGATTGATCGTCTTAATTTCGGGTTATAATTTCATTTTTATACTTTTTGTTTACAATATTATCATCTAATTTTGTTTTTTTTAAAAATGTTAATATATTTGTGTTCTGACGTTTCTTCTACATGATTTTATTTTTACGTATTTTAAGTTTTAATTCCAAATAAAAATTAAATTTAAAAAAATACAAATAAGGATAAAGAATGTATGAAAGAAAACTACAATTTGGTTAAGATATTTTTAAATTAATAACCCACTAGTTTTCTATAGGTACGATTAATAGAACATATTATATAACAAATACCTAACAATATACAAATAATATAGGTAGGTATAAGCGTCAATAAATACAACCGTAAAAAAAAGCGATTAATCAACGATTGCGATAAAAAACATAATTCAATGAGTTAATAAATGGTTTGTCACAATTACTCTAAGCTTAATAGTGGCGGTTTTGGTTTAATTGTTATCTATTGTTATGATGTTAACTTATATTTAACATTGAAGCGTTGCTCTTCGTCAGTTGGAGTTTGATCTAGATAGGAATTTCACAATTTGTAACTCACTAATAGTGAGTTATAAAATAATAGTGAGTCACTATTATTTTATAAAAATTACTGTTATAACAGTTTTGTGTGCAGTACGGCTAGTACGCAATTAAATTGTGAGTACCTATACCACGTCGTTGTCGTGGCGTTGTAGCTGTGTTACGCATTAGGATAACACAAGTGGGCACCGGACCTAATAGTTATAAATAGGTATCGATAAGACACTAAGCTGTAAAGGTTGCCACACACTGAATCGGAACAGAAACGAATTTTGTCCGCACACCGTGTCGGAACCAGTCGGAATTCCGCGGCCATATATACTTAGCCATTTTGATCTCATCGCTCAAGCTCGACAGTCGAACTAAAGCGTATTATTTATTTTTAATATTATTGTGTGTTCGTAAACTATAATATAATATATGATACAAGTAGTGACGAAGAAGACATGATATTCACACTAAGCTCTTTTTTCAGAAGCTGAAGAAAAAGAAAAATATTACGTAATATAAAAAGACAGTGGGTTCATAGCATAAATATGGCAAGGAAAAAAGAAGGAGAATTATATACACTATTCCTGCATTTAAAACAGGACGATAAAAAATTTTTTCAATATTTCCGGATGAGTTATGAAAAATACTTCTCATATAATTTTTTCATCTGATATTTTAATTATTTGTATCAGAGTTATTTGTATCGAAAAAATATTATTAAGTATATATAATATTATTGTTGTAAACTTTCAGTTGTGTACACAACTACAAAGTACTACAAAGATGATGACCAAAAATTAGCATGTATATTTCGCACTGACGCAGAGTGTCAGTGCGCATGCGTTGGCAATCGGAATGCTTTGAAATCCGTCAAAATATTGTTGACAAACAATTCGGTCGCGTTCCGATCCGATCCAGTGTGCGGGACTTCATTTAAAATTATTTGTATTAATTTTTTTCGTTTCGATCCGATCGGACGGTTCCGTTCCATAACGATTCAGTACTATTTTTATCCATTTAATTTTATGAGATTATGACAGCCCCTGATAATTCTATATAATTTCACTACATTTTGATAAGACATACTTCGCTTCGATTAAAGTTTCATGTGCACTGTTAGGTATTGTAGCAATATTTATATATGACATATTAATTTAATACAGTGGCGTAATTAGGAATTTGGTTTGGGGGGGGGGGGATTATAGGTTTAAGCAAAATCTGTACATCTCATACAGTAACTCCTCCCGCCCCACCAGAACAACATTTTTAATAATTTAAATTTTAATAATAATAATAATAATAATAATAATAGTAATCGTAATAATAATAATGATAATAATCATACTATTACAATATAATAAATAAAAAAAATATACAAAAAAAGTTTTGGGGGGATCCGTCCCCCAAATCCCCCTAATTACGCCCCTGATATAATAATGGCCCAATTACCGGATATAATATTTGTTGCCGCCGTAAAATAGCGGCCGGTCGACGACCCGAATAATATCACAGCCTATCGACACACACGCACAATTATCTATATTGTGATTTATTTATTTTTGTTATTAATTGTGTGTGAATTATTTAAATTAATTAAGTCCCAACGCGTTACCCGTTATCGGCGCGTTATCTGCGTCGCCGGCTTGTCGGTGCGCGTATTTTAACACGGCCGCCGCAACTTTTGTCGCTCTCTGCACGTCGTTCGTGAATTGTCCGTT